CCCGAAACGTCAGCTTTCCTGCTCCTCTGATGCTGCTTGGCCTGCTGTGTTCATCCAGCTCTACACCTTGTTATCTTTTTATTCATTCTTGGGATGTTGACGTCTCTGACTAAGCTAGCACTTATTGCTCATCCCTAAATGCTCTAGAGAAAGTAATGTTAAGTTGCCTTGTCCATGTGGTGTACATACACTCACAATGCTATTAGGAAGCGAGTTCCATGACTGTGCTCAGTGACAGTGTAGGAATGGCAATGTAGTTCTGGATGATATGTGGCTTGGGAGAGGAGCCTGCATATGGTGGTGGTTCCATGTACCTGCTGCCCCTGTCCTTTTAGGTAGATAGAAGCCGTGGGCTCGGAAAGTGCTGTATAACCTGGGTGAGTTACGGCAGGGTATCTTGCAGATAGTACACACTACTACTGCAATAGTGGTGAATGGAGTGAATGCTAAAGCTAGTGGATTGAGTACCCACCAAGCAACATGGGAACATGAGGAGAATTTTAACAAGGCAATGCATGGGTTATGGTGGAGGATTGAAATTGTGGAAAAGTGCAAGTACTTCATGCAGCCTCCTGCATTCTGCTAACTTCCACGTTTAACCACACTGCATTTAACTGCATACGTATGAAAAGGTTCATTCAAAGTACTTCTGCTGGTAGGTTATTGTACACAATTTAGTAGAGTGTTATCAACACTTGCAAGGTTCAAAAGCATTGGTTCCTCTTTGGGCCTTGATTTAGTCCATCACATATGTGAAGCTTGTGTAGTGTAACTTTAGCTTCCAGCGAGGCCCAAGGTAAGCAGTGGCAGCATTTGGACTTGCGTCGACAGCAGCTTGCTGCGAACAGACCTGCAGCTCCGGAAAGAGAGGGAGTTGCAGACAGCTGTGGCTCACTAAAGGGCACAGTCTGAACATGGGTTCCAGAGACAGAAGCCAAGCTTCATCGACATGTCAAAACACCAGTGTCGCATTAGGCTCAGTGTGTTTGTGTCAGCAGGTGGCAAACATTTGCAGCCTGCAGGAACAAGACCTGTGCCATCTGAACCTAATGGGTTCGCTTTACCCATGGCAGTCAGATTCATCATCTCCTTAAACATTTTTGCCTTCAGATCCGTCGGCGGCTCGTCCAAAGAAATTTGCAGCATTTCACAGTTGCCACACACAATATGACACAAGACTGACCATCGGTTTGCTAGGGTATGAAATTACATCAAATTTGTCTGCAGATGTCAGGTTTCATCAATGGCATACAACTGCCTAGAGATCACTGAGAATGTTCATTAATCAGAAGGGTTTTCTCTGGTGTACAGCCACAGTGCAATCTTTGTGCAAGTGTGAGCAAGACTCCTAGCAGCTGCCATGACAGTCCATTTTCTTGATGTCTTCACTCTATAAACAGTTTTGCCAGCTGTTTGCTTGGAGATGATGGATACCCATTTAAAACCAATATTGCCTCTCAGGAAGGCAGAAAATGCAACACCACAGCAATACAATGAGTGCTAAATGGCCACTACATGTGTCATTGAGCAACCCATCAGTATACTAAAGATGAAGTTCCAAGTATCAGGAAGGCTCCTGCAGTATGAACACGCTTTCATTTCCAAAATAGCTGTGGAAGACTATGCTGCAGTCTGCACTGCACAATGGCAAGCTTTGGATTGTCATGGGGAGCACGGAGCCTCTTCAGATGATTCCGAACAAGAAGATGAAGATAAGGAGGAGGATGAAGGTAATGTAGGTAATCTGTCCCCCTGTTTGCACATTGTTGGCAGGATGCCCTCGTTATTGTGAGGTTTACTTAGATTCCACAAGTGCACTATCTAACAACCATTTTTGTTTCCCTCCCATTAATGCAACTATCATGGAGCGGTCTGTAAACAACCAAGCCTCCCTTTCACAGCTTCTTGTTGCACATTATCAATCTCTGTCTCCTTTCATTACTACACAACACATAAAACCACTCGCTATTTAGCAGGTAAGAATGGGCAAGGCAGGAGAATGATCCTGAGAATAGTATTTATGTTGTTCACATATAGAACACAAAGTAAACAGTCTAACAATATGCAACATACCAGTGTGCATATCCTTATGCAACATCAAATCTTTCCTCTTCCTTTTCTTCACATTTCTGTGAAGTGGAACATTTGTGACTTTAACAGAAGTAAAAGACGAGGTTAAGAACATTTGTATTCATGTTTAGCCAGAATTGCTGAGTGGATTCTCCATCTTGGCCTCATCCAGAGGTCCTACATCACAGACTTCAGTTAATTTGACTCATTCACTAGATATCAAGAAAACAGTGAAGGCTCTGGATACTGCAAAGGATATGGGTTCTGCCAACATTTCGGTAATAATACTGAAAACATGAGTTTGAGAACTAGCCACGTTTCCATTTAAGTTGTTCCATTACAGCTCCAACACTGCCATCTACCCAGCAAAGTAGAAAGTGCTCAATATGACTTGTCAACAAAAAGCAGGACAAATTCAACCTTATCAACTGGATCCCTTCAATTTACTCTCAATCATCAGAAAAGTAATGCACGGGATCATCGACAGTGCTATCAAACAACACTTACTCAACGATAGCGCTCTCACTGATACTTAATTTGGTTTCTGCCTGATCCACTTGGCTCTTGACCTCATTGTAGCCTTGCTACAAATATAGACAAAAGAGTTGATCTTCAGAGGGAGACGACTGCCCTTGACATTAAGGCTGTATCTGACTGAATATGGCATCAAGAAGCCCTAAAAAACTGGACACAATGAGAGTTGGGAGGAAAACTCTCCACTCATTGGAGTCATACTGGGCTCACAGGAAGATTGTTGTGTTTGTTGGAGATTAATCATCTCAGCCACAGGACATCCCTGCAGGAGTTCCTCAGGTTAGTGTCCTAGGTTCAAACATCTCCAGCTGCTTCATGGCCCTCCCTCCATCATGCAGTCAGTGATGAGGTTGTTCACTAATGATTGCACAATGTTCAGCACCAATCATAACACCTCAGATATTGCTGCAACCCGCGTCCACATGCAGCAAGACCTGGACAACATCCACACTTGGTTTGATAAGTGGTTAGTAACATACGTGCCACACAAGTGCTGGGCAATGGCTATCTCCAACAAGAAAGAATCCTGTACTATCAAGATTCTGTGAGTTACCATTGACCAAAGACTGAATTGGACCAGCCATATGAGTTCTGTGTTGACAAAGTTAGGTCAGAGGCCAAGAGTTTTATGACAAGTAAATCACCTCCTGACTCGCCAATACCTGTTCACCATCTAAAAGCACAAGTCAGGAGTGTAATGGAATACTCCCCACTTGCCTGGATGAATGTGGCTCCAACAACACTCAAGAAGCTTGATACCAGCCAGGAAATAGCAGCTGCTTGATTCCCAGCTCATCTAACACATTCAACTTCGCTCTCTCCACCACAAATACACAGTGGCGGCAGTGTGCACCACCTACAAGATGCACCGCAATGTCTCACCTAGGCTCCTTAGATAGCAGATTCTGAAATTGCAACCACTACCACTTAGATGGACAAGGAAAATAGATACATGGGAACACCACCACCTACCAGCTCCCTCCAAGATGCACACTGCCCTGACTTGGAAACATATTGATATTTCACTGCTGTGTCAAAATCCTGGAGCTCCCCTTCTATAATGACACTGTGAACATACCTACACCGTACGGACTGCGGCAGTTCAAGAAGGTAGATGATCGCCACTTTTTCAAGGGCAATTAGGGATATGCAATAAATCCTGGCCTAGATAGCAAAGCCCAAATCCT